GATGAAATCGGATAGGGATGAAATCGTTTAGGGATGAACGAGTTTAAGAGTTTTTAAGAGTTTTAGCCAAATACTTTATAATATAGTATAGATAAAAAGTTAATATAGTAGTTTTCTATTACTCAGAAATATTTATCAAACAGACAATATTCATTTTACATTGACATGTTTGTTTTTTCAAAATTACCTCTTAATACCTCTGAAGTCTAATTCATTCAGACGTTTGAGTATTAAGAACATTTGTTTTTATTAAATAAAATCTTAAAGCTCTAAATGTCCTCTAAAACTTTAAATGGTAAACGTATACCTTGTATAATATCTTTTAATCCAAATCCGTCCTTTATCAAATGGTTCATATTCTGGGAACTAGACATTTTGGAAACCTCAGGGACCAAATCCATAATTCACTCTTCGTAAATTATGGGGACTAAATCCAAGACATCTCGGCCTACTACTGTATCTTGTGTGTTTTGTGAAACATCCCCAGCTATAAGTGTGTATCCATATATCTTGTGTGATTTGTGAAAAACCCAATTGTTTGTGGATTTGATTTTGATTTTAGAGCTGCTAGTATGTATGTTTTATGGTTAATGGTGGCCAGAGTCAGTGGTTTGGTCAGAAAAGAACAAAATCTAGTCTGGTTTTGTTTCCATAGAAGAGAATAGGGTCGAGGAGTGAAAAGAAGTGGGTCGGGATGATACGTGTCTACTTCTGGTTGGTTGCTAATATTCTAATTTATTTTATTTCAAAAGAAAATGGGAAAATGTCCAAATTACATCTCATTTAACAGATGAGAGTCAACAATCATTAGTGGAAGGGACCAAATGTTACAAACTTGAAAACTCTAGGGTCCATCTTGTAATAAAAAGATTATGGGGGACTAATTTAATATATTTTGAAAACCTCAGGGACCAAATCTATCTTTTTCGAGGATTAAATGGTTCGGGTCTACCGTCGTCCGTCCGTGAACCGCTATATTGTATTTACACATGTCGACTCCATTGAAGAAGAGAGAAGATTCTCTCTCTACTTTAATAATCTCATATACATATATACTCCTTCACACCTAAATTTCTCTCTCTCACACACACATACACACGCACGCCGAGCTGAAAGGCACATTTCTTTCTCCTACTGCGTGGCGGCAGATCGGTTTTGAGAGCTGTTGATTAATATCAGATAAATCTGGAGATGTTTATCGTTTGCTGTGGAAGTTATTAGGTTTCTATGATATGATCTATGTTGATTTCACAAATTGGTTTGTGATCACTGGTTTGAACGCAATTGATTTGGATCTTCATTTCTATTAAGTGTTTAATTTGTTTTGTTTTGATTTTAGAGTTTCTGTAACAGACGTGCAAACTTTGAGATCGTTTTCCCTGCAAATCAGTTGATGCAATTCAAGCAAGGTAGGTTATTATATTTGCTTTTAGTTTTTCGTAAATTGATGATCGGTGGTTTAAATTGAAACTGTAGATTGGTAATGAAAAGGAATGAAGAAATTATAATCTAATGGAGTTGTTAGGTATAGTGCAGTATGCTTGGAATTGTTGAAGTGGAGCTGGCTTTAGTTTAACGTTATTGGTTTGGAATTTTGTTGCTGTTCTTTTTCCATTTTTAATAGCATTTTATGTTGACTAGTTACTGGTTTGTTGTGATTTCAGTGAAATTATTGGTTCATTTTGTGTAATTGGATTCATAAGAGAATATAGAGTTGATAGTTAAGTTATATTACAGAGTAGGAATTAGGAAATAGTTGTTTGATTGTGTTCTTCGTTTATCTTCATCTTGTGATTTAATTCTATATAGTCTACTGGAAAAATCTTCTTGTCTATGGTAGTACTACTACTCTGACTTCGAAGTTTGAAATTTCAATTGTGTCACCATTTCCTTCAAATTATGTTTTAGATTCTGATGTCAGGATCTATATGCATTTAGGTTATTGCATTTGTCATTTATCCATCTCCAATTTCCATATTTACGATTTTTAATGGTGGTTGACGTAATTTGCATGAATAATTGAACATTCAGATTGCAGAAGAATATGATAGTGGCTTTGAGTGAAATAATTTTGCATCTCGAGTGAGATTCATAGCCATTACCCGAATAGTTCTTACAGAATTTGCAAGTGAGTAAAGATGGGGTCTGCTTGTTGTATTGCTGCTAGAGATCGAACTGTAATAAATGGATCCAGTAGTGATATTATGTCACGTAATGTTCGCTACTCGCCTTCATGGAGCTTTCGGTGGGATAACCGGGGGCGTGTGGCAGAGGAAGAAACGTCTGTGAATTGGCTTTCTGATGGTGTTGGCACAAATGATAGATTGGACAATAAATCTCAGACAACTATAGAAACCGCAAATGCTTCAGAAGCAGGCAGTCCGTTGGAAGGTTTTCAAAGTATCACTCGGCGAAAATCTCCACCTTCTGAAGGCAAAATGGTTTGTACATCAGGTAAATTTCAATCTAATAACTTTCATAACACCAGTTGCCATGAATAAAAATTATTTACCAAGTGGGCGAAACATAAGGCTTTGTAGATTCTGTATGTGCCACTCAATTGGATTTCTGGTACCATGTTTTAGTATGGTTCTTATGGTGTACCTGTGTAAGGGGTGGACCCACTATGGTGCATACGATAGCACAGGCCACCCCTTCGTCGTAGCGTAATCTTTTTTAGGGTTGTCAAATATGTCACTGGATTGATTATTTTGTTGGGTGGAACTGTATACTCCTTGAGAAAGTTGTAACTACAATAATAACACTAGTTTCTCTTGGTACAGTTGGTTTGCATGGTCTTTTTTCCCCTTCGAGATGCTTGTTCGAATCCCAATTGTATCATTTTCTTAGTTTTTAGTTTCAGGTTTATTATGTTTCTGATAAAAATTGGGGTATGATACTTGAACACATGACCTCACATACAAAAAGTAAGGAACTAACTAACAGATCAATGATATGATTTTGTATCAAATATCTATAGCTTCGCTTTTTATAATCAAATGGTGCTAAAAACTTTATAGGTCCACCTCTGATAGTGTATGTTGTGATCTCAATGTGTTAAGAGATATAAGCTATCTTATTTATATTAATATCATGGTATTCATTGTTTGGCAAACTAGCTGATAAGTTAGTTGATGAACAAATATCTTTGGCAAAACTAGCTTATGAGAATGTAAAATAACCAAAAAGGGTATCTTGAAGAATTAATCAATTATAATATTTAAAAATATAACTGAAAATCTCTAACAATATAATATATTAACTAATATAAACAAGATAGTAAAAAAATAAAAAATAATAATATATTGATTAAAAGAATTTTAAATTGATTATTATAAATAT